ACCACAAGAAAGAGAGAGAGACATTGGATTGTTGAATTTCCTGGGTGTTATACAGAAGTTTCTCAACTGTGGTGCTGTTGACATTTTGGGCAGATCACTCCTTGTCATGTGCAGCTGTCCTGTGTTATAGGGTGTTGACCAGCATCCCTAGCCTCTGCATTCTACCCAATAGATGCCAGAAGCTCCCAACTCCCCCACCCCCTCATTGTGACAAAAGAAACTGTCTTCAGACATTGCCAAATACCCCTGGGGGCAGGATCCCCAAGCGAAGCTGGAGAATCTAGTTCCACAGCTGTGCGCCCTTCACATTCGTTGTATTACTGTATTTTTCTAGGTTTTAATTTTTAAAAGTAAAGAAGTATACTTGGGAAAGAAAGAGTCAAATGTACTAGAGGACATTCATTAAAAGCTGTCCTTCCCAGCCCTGTCCTGGATGTCTGTCCCTGTCCCCCAGGCACTAATTGCTATTCTTTCAGAAGTTCAAGTAGATATAAGAGCATATGTTTAAAACATGATTCTGGTTTTGTTCTGTTTTTTTCCACACAGGTGTCAGTAATACAAAAGTCCTGCAGGTTGCTTTTTGTTAAACTGTTCCAATTAACTATATAAAGTATTTCATTATTTTTATGGTCACGCAGTATGTGGATTGTATGGCTTATAGTCTATAGTTCAGTGCATGAAAAAGTCTCCCACTTAATCTCAGGATCCCAGCTGTTATGCTGGCTCCTGTACACCTGCCCAGGGTGGTAATCTGGGGCCCCTTCTGCATCCTGCTTTTCTTTTACCTGCACACCTGGTGCAGAATTCCCTTATTACAGAGAGGCTCTCATTCCTTCTAATGCCTTGTAGGAAGTATGTCCTCTAGTTGACTTAACTCACCCTCCAGTGGTGGGCAAAAGGTTTGTTTAATCCATGCTTCAGTAAAGAGCTGGAGTAGACAACTACACATTGCTCCTGTGCAAAAGAAACATTACAAGTTGGATCTCCAGAGCTTGGGGATGTAGCTCAGTGGTAGAGTGCTTGCTTTATGTTCATGAAGCCCTAGGTTCGATCCCATGCACCACCCAAAAAGAGAGAGAAGGGAAAAAAAGAAATGGAATTTCTGCATTGGAGGGTGAGCACATTGGTAATTTGATATACTTCCCAGTAGCCCACCATGGAATCTGTGGGGCACAGCTTCCTAGCACTGAGAAAATCCTGTTACTCTACACTTGAGACATAGCACCCATGAGGCATCTACCATTTGTATTTTGCCAAACAAATTAAGTAGAGGGAAGCAGGTCTTGGTAGGATTTGTGAAGTAATGCATGTCTGGTCCTGGCCTGTCTGCTTTCTCTGCTTCCTGCCATGTTGCTGAGAGCTGTGTCCTCAGCCCCAGCTTGTACTCTACCCTCCTATTTTGTAGCATCCCACTCTCTAGTGCTATGGTCTGAATCTTTGCGGAAATCCTGACTCCCCCCCACCGGGAGCAGTGCTATTAAGAGGTAGCTTCTGGAAGGTGATTAGGTTATCAACTCAGAGCTGTCATGAATGGGATTAGTGCTCTCATAAAAGAGGCTCCAGGTGGGTTGGAGGCATGACTTAAAAGCCCTTGCCTAGCAAGTACAAGGCTGTGAGTTCAAACCCCAGTACACCAAAAAAAAAGAAGAAGAAGAAGAAAAAAAACTGCAGTGACTTGTCTTAAGCCTTCTTTCATTTAAGAGCAAGGAAGTGGGCCCTCACTAGAATCCCACAATGTTGGTGCCCTTGTTAAAGGCATGTCCTGGGACAAATTCCTCACCTGGCCAGAGAGCAAGTAAAAATGTCTACTAGACCTAAAGGGGTAGGAGTTTTATAATGAAATTGTTGTTTAAGTTGTGATTTGGCAGTGCATTTAATAATATGAAGACAATAACAATCTTGTCACAAAGGAGGATTTACTTTGTGTCAGTCACTATGGTATACATTTTTCATATGTTATTTGTTATGCTTGTAGCAATCCTGAAAGATTATTTATGTTATTCATCTATTTATTTATTTGTGGTACTGGGGCTTGAACTCAGGGCCTACACCAGCCTTTTTTTGTGTGTGTTAGGTATTTTCAAGATAGGGTCTCGAGAACTATTTGCCCGGGCTGGCTTCAAACCACAATCCTCCTGCTCTCTGCCTCCTGAGCAGCTAGGATTACAGGTGTGAGCCTCCATCACCTGGCCCTTTTATTATTGTTGTTGTTGTTGTGCTGGGTAGGGGAGCATTGGAGTATTTGCAAAAGTTCTTAAAATGTATCAAATATATCATATTTGAATTTGAATTTACCCCCTCTGCTTATAATGAAATTTTGGATAGAAGAAATCTAGATTCTTTGCACTGACCCTATGCTGGTTGTATGATAAGGTCAGGATAACATGAAGGGAGCAGTGTCCTGGTACAGGAAGTTAACTGTACACAGAAGTTTTTGCTACTTCTTAACTGGTTGGTTCCTAAAGCAGAAAGCAGTGTGGTCTTGGTGAGTCAATAGTACACAAGAGAGAAACTTGGGGAAGTTTTTTTCTTTGTTGATTAATTTGGAGCTATGAGTTAAAGTGGCCTTCTTATCTCTTTCTTCCCTCCATTATCTAACCCATAACTTAACTTAGTACATCTCAGAATTCTTTTCATATCATTTCTCCTTTTTTTTTTTGAGATCTTTCAGAGAAAGCATGGCTGGTGGCTGCTGTATTGATTTTATCACTTTTTTGTTTTGTTTTGTGGTACTGGGGTTTGAACTCAGGTCTTTGCGCTTGCAAAGAAGGCCCTCTATCACATGAGCCACACCTCTAGTCCAATTTTATAACATGTTAAGTGGACATTATATGTTCTGGTCCCATTCCGCATCACTAGGAAGGCCTACTCCTAGGAAGTCATATCCCGCAGAGAGAAAGTTGTAGGTAAGGAATAGTGGTATGTCTTTAAACCCAACTATGGGAACAAGAGGGAGACCATCTATCCAATCATAATCAGGGCTCTTCAGTTATTTCTGAAGAAACTTGTTTTGGGAAGGTAAAGATAGCTAGTTCAATCTTTTGACCAAGCATGATATTGGCTACAATTCAGTCTATTAAGTTTATATAGTTTGGAAAGACAAAAAATGCAGCATTAGAGAGTTTATCAATCAAAAGAATGCACAGTGCAGCCCAGCAGAATAGTTCCTTCAAAGAAAGATGGTAAGAAGAAGAGCCATTTTGCCATCAACAAGGTAGTGACCTGAGAATACGCCATCAACATTCACAAGTGATCCACAGAGTGGGCTTTAAGAAGTGTGTCCCTCAGTCACTCAAAGAGATCTGGAAATTTATAATGAAGAAGAGGGGGACTCCAGATGTATACAGTGATACCAGACTCATCAAAGCTGTTTGGCCCAAAAGAATAAGAAATGTCCCATAGTGTATCTGTGTATGGTTATCCAGAAAACATGTGAGGAGGAAGATTCACCAAACAAGCTCTATACTTTGGTGACTTATGCACCTGTTACCAAGTTCAAAAATCTACACACAGTCAATGTGGATGAGAACTAACTAGTGAATGAAAATAAAGTTATAAAACTGCCCAAAAGCAAAGCAGAATTATCAAACCAAGCCATACTATTTTTCTAAACAATGAAACTATTTCTACTAGGAACCAACTAAAAAGATCACTAACCAGTTTAAATTTGGGTTCATCCATAGAGACCTATTAGAGCCAGGTAGCTTCTGTTCTAGTATTTTTCTAAATGGGTTTGTACTTTGTCAAAGGAATTTATGTACTCATAGCAAGACCATACTTACGCCTCCTTGCTCTGCTAATACTCATTCTAGAGCAATTTGATACCTAACACAACTTTGGCTGGAAGCCACTAGCTTCTGGTCTTTGCTGTAATAGCAAAGGCATCCTCTTTACTATGGCTGCTTGGGGTGACACAAAGACTTCTGACCACTTGTACCTGGACACAGAACCCCACCATGGCAAAAAGACTTTTCTAACGGAACAAACAGAGCTGTCTTCCTGGTTTCCTGGTAAATATTTGGAAGATGATGGCATCATGGATAGTCCCCATCTAAAATGGATTGAGTCTGGAAAAAAATGCAAAGGGACTAATTCAGTATCGGGTTTCCTCTGAGTCAAACAAAGATGCAAGAGTAAATTCAAGAGACCCTTACATAGGTCAGACTTTGGACCAAGGAATGTTTAAAGTTGCCATACGTTTAGCTAATTCAGTTTTTTGTTTTATTTTGTTTTTTTCAGGGCCTCATGTTTGCTAGGCAGGTGCTCTACCACTTGAGTCACTCCACCAGGCCTTTTTTGTATTAGGTATTTTCAAGATAGGAGCTTGTAAACTATTTCCCTGAGGCTGGCTTTGAACTGTGATCTTCCTGATCTCTGCCTCTGAGTAGCAAGGATTACAGATGTGAGCCCACCAGCACCTAGCTGCTAATTCAGTTTTGATGATTCCATTTCTCCTTTCTACCAATCCAGAGGACTGCAAATATTGTGCATAGTGAGACTGTAGTATCAGCCAGATAGCACACACTTGTTGGACTCCAGAAAGCTCTCTTGCTTCCACCATGCTTTCTGAACCAAAAAGTAGATTCTTACCAGAGACTCAGTCTGCTGGTGCCTTGATCTTAGATTTCCAGCCTCCAAGAACTATGAGATAGGTGGGCACCAGTGGCTCACACCTGTAATCCTAGCTACTCAGGTGGAAGAGATCAGGAGGATCATGGTTCAAAGCCAGCCCAGGCAAATAGTTCGAGAGACCCTATCTCTAAAAAACCCAAATCAGGGCTGGCAAGTAGCTCAAGTGGTACAGTGCCTGCCTAGCAAGCCTAGCAAATGTGAGACCCTGAGTTCAAACTCCAGTACCTCCAAAAAAAAAAGAACTATGTGATAAATGTCTATGGTTTCTAGGTCACCCAGCCTATGGTGTTTTGTCATAGTAGCCTAAATGGACTAAGACACTTAGCTCATCTCTGGACTGAAACATCCCTGTTCTCCTGTGGTTTCAGAACCGGGTTTCTCCATTTAAGGACATGATCTTATGCTTCTCTGAAGAGGACTGGTCCCTGCTAGACCCTGCCCAGACTGGGTTCTACGGAGAGTTCATCATTGGGGAGGACTGCGGGGTCTCAATGCCTCCGAGTAAGACCTAACTCCCCACACCCCCAAGACGAGGGAACTGGCAGGGGTCTCAGAGTCAGGATAAGCCTCCTTCTGTACCTCAGATCTCTGTTCACCCTCCAACCTCGACAGGAGGCCATCTATGCAGGGGACCTATCGGAGGTTTGTCCCATTGGCCACTGCATGCTTTTTAGCATGTGTAGGTCAGGCTCCCTTGGCCTCCCAAATATGACATGATTTTAGTGTCTCTAGTTTTCTTCATTTCTGCTCAACTGTCTCTTTTTCAGACTTACCTAATAGGTCTCAGAGAGCTGCCCCAGGCCCACCACTCTCCCTCCAGTGTGCTGCCTCTGTTGCCACTCCTGGCTTGCTCTGGCCTTTCATGACTTTGCAGGCCCATGTGTCCTCTAAGTGTGTCACAGCCCATTGGCCATCCCTCTGTTGCCTCCTTTCCGGGCCTGCCATGTCACCTGCAGGAGTAGATCACTAACTGAAACATATCCTGCTCCTCTCTAAACAGATGACCCACCAGCCCAGCCGGATCTTTCCCAGAGAGAAGAGAATGAGCCACGGCCCGCAGAGTTGCAGGACCTCCAGGGCAAAGAAGGACCCCAGGTCTCCTACTTGGGTGAGTAATGTTCCAGAAGTGGGTGGTTGGTGAGGTGAAAGGTCACTGCCTGCTAGAGCTGGGCCACTCCCTGTTTTTTTTTTTTTTTTTTGGCAGTTCCCAATCATCTGTTCATATTCCCCAGACTACGTCTTGGTGTCCCATGTCTTGCCTTATCCCTGACATCATGCAGAAAGAATAGGGGATCTTAATTTTGCCATCTATGAGGATTATACTCCCTCAACCAGGAACTAAGAAATAATGGGACTTTCTTTCTCCTCTGCCTGCAAGTAGCACTTGGTGTGTGCTGACAAGCCAGAGGGCCTTCCAGGAGTGAGGTCAGACAATTGTGACAAACCAGGCTGTGTGGCGAGTGTCTCTTCCTGACTGGGCACTAAGTACAGCATCTCCAGAGACTTCACCTGCCTGCTCCTCCCACCCGTGCTCACACAAGGGGCTGTAGGAGGTGCTCAGCCTTGGCAGCAGTATTCAGCTGTTGTCCCCTCCCACCCACCCTGATACTCCATATACCCAGAACTTGTGTTTGTAACCTCTGTGTGGTTCTTTGGAGAGTCTGCCCCTTCAAAGAAATAGCTTTGTACAGAAGCAATAGCAGTCCTGGACCTCCTTCCCCTTTGGGACCTAGTGTTGGCACTGAGCAGACCAGGTTCTGGTGCACCATCCTTGCCTGGAGCAAGCATCCAGAACCTCCAGCATGGCATGGTAGATCCTGTCCCTCCTATCTCTGTCTCCAGACTTTACACAGGCTGTTTGTGGAGGTTCTGCAGGTCTGCAGAGAACCCACCACAGGAGGTAGCAGTGAACTCATGGTCAAGGCCATTACTTGTCTCTGGCCACAAAGGTAAACAGGCAGATCCAAGATCTACATTGATTCTGGCTAGCTTCAGAACCCAGGTTCATGGTGTCAGCCCATTTTGCCTTCAAGTTTATTCATTCAGCAAACACAGAGTGGCCACTTCGTGCCAGGATCCAGAGGGGAGCCCAGTGCCCTCAGATCATAGCCTGGCTTCTCTTCAAGCTCCAGGTAGTGATGCCAATACGAGACAAACTTTTCCATTTTCTTCTTTGGAAAGACTTTCCCAGTCCCCAGCCAATCCAGGTGGAAGAAAGAAGGAAATGGGAGGAGCTGCAAGTGCCAGAGCTCCAGGCCTGCCAGCAGGTGATGCTCACTCAAAGCACCTGCCCAGGTAAGGAAGGCTGAAGTGTAGGGTATGTGCTAGGGCTCAGGGATGCATGGTGTGAATGTGCACTTGTGGGGTGTGTCTGTGGTATATGGTGTGTTAAAATGTGCGTGGTATACACATGCATCTTGGTGGAGCTGTTAGGATTTAAACTTTTGGAGTTTTCTGCTGACCACTGTTGTGCCGTCATCAACCACTTGCCCTGTTTCTGTTTTGCTGGGGTCTCTTTCCAGCTGACTTCCAATCCCATACTGTCCCCTTGTCTTTCCTGGGTGGGTTGAGGCAGGATGCTGGTAGGCATGCATGCCTTTCTTCCCTGTTCATGGATGGCCAGAGTCCTGAGACAGTATTGTCATCAACGAGCAGGTTCAGGAATGCCAAAGCTGCAAGGGTCTTCTCGAAAGTGATTGCTGCCCTTGGAGTATTGTGAACTCTGAATCATCATGGTAAAAGTCACCGCCACAGAGGCAAAGACTAAAATGTCACATCCTTAATATCCTCACAGTTCAGCTGTTCTTCTGAATATCAAAGTCAAGTTCTACTGAATGACAAACTGATCCTTACTTTAGCCCACTGTATTGTAGTGGTTTCCTGCAGCTGTGGAAATTTACATATTATCTCATACCAGTGATGCTTTGAAGGCAAGATTGGTGTTATTTCCACCTCGCTTTGTTCAGGGCATGCAACCATTTGTGCTGGGCCCCCTATGGTGTGTAGACAAAGGGGATTTTACAGTGTGACTGATCTGGAAGGATAAGACCACTCCTCACCAGAATTGAGGTCCACTCTTCACATTCTGAAGAGCTTCCCTCTGCATGCGGTCCTGTGGGGCCACTCAGTTCAGGTGCAGGCTTGAAGTCTGTGCTGCATTTTGAACCTTCCCTGGTTCTCCCAGCCATAGCATGTCTCTCATCTCATCAACATACTTTCAGAAGGTAGATGATGTTCAGTAACACAGGAGATTTCAATTTTGTTCTCCCTTCACTGTGCTCTGATGCAGAATCTGCTCTCACATGGCAAGAAGCAAAGGGTTGCTATCTGAGAAGGGGGAGAGGATGGAATTCAGAGAGTAGGTGCTGTTTTTATTTTGGTAGCTGCTGCCAACTCTCCTTCCACAATGCCTTTCCTGCCATCCTGTGCCCCCTGACAGCTGGTAAGGGACTGCTTCTCTGTATCCATGATCACACAGGATGCTCTCAACCTGTTTGGTTGGTGCCAGCCAGATTAGAAAGTTACTGTGCTGGCCACTAAGGTGGAATATCTTTTCTTATTTACTGTGTTTTCTTTATGAGTTGCCTGGCTAATGTTGATTTGTCTTTTTTTTCTTTTTTACATTCTTCCGCACACATTTGTTAAGTTCTCTCTCTTAATCTATTTTCTGTTGCTAATAAGACAATACCATAGACTGGGTAAATTATGAAAAAACCAAAGAGGCTTATTTTGGCTCATGTACTGGTTCAAGGTCGAGGAATTTCAGGTGATGGACTTTTTGTTGGCAGAGTCCTGAGGCAGTTCAGGACATCACATAGCAAGAGATCTCACCAAACTGGCTTTTATCTTAGGCCTACTCTCAGTATAACCCATTAATCCATTAATTATATGAATGGCAAAGCCCTCCTCACCTGCTAAAAGTCCCACTTGGTCCTACCTCTTAATATCTGACAATGGTGATTAAATTTCAAAATGAGTTTTGGAGGGAACATACCATATTCATACCATAGCATTCTTTTATGTCAAGTACTGTACCAGGGTAAAATGTTTGTGCAGTTTTGTGCACAAACATTGTGTACCACAATGTCTCCATTCTCCATCTGAACAGCAGAGAGCCTAGGAGTCCGGTGCTCACAAACAGCACAAAATCTAAACTCAGACTGTCAGGCCCCAATCTCATGGTCTTTACTCCCTATTACTAAACCATGGTTTGCACTTGTGCTCTCTCTCTCTCTCTCTTCCTCTCTCTCCTTTTTATTCACCCCCTGACCCCCCACAGTGCCTGGGTCCATGCCTTTGCCCCCACACCCAGTGAACCCAAGTCAGCCCGGGCAACTTCACTTCTCTGCTTTAATTTTTCATCTGTGAAACACAGATGAAAGTTATAGCTGCCATTTGGAGTTATTTTTGAAGATTTAAGGATTTAATGCATATATAAGCACTTAGATAAAAAACTCTTCCCTGTCTTTCCTACATTGTACTGACAGCTAGTTCAGGCACCCTCCCCTTTCACCCACACATATATTACACTCACATTCAGCACTCACACACCTGTTTCTGGGATTCTGAGCACACATCTAACAGCCTCACATCATCTACTTTTCTCTCTTCAAGGAATTTTTCACATTGTATTGATGGCACACAATAGCACTACTGTTACTTATCCTCCGACCCCTTTGAGATTACACATCTTTTGTCATTTGAGCTGATTTTAGCCTAAAATGTCATCATGTCACATATGCTAGGACTTCCATAACCAATTATTTCATGACATGTGGCTTAAAGAACAGAAATTCATTTTCTTATAACTCTGGAGTCTGAAAGTTCAAGACCAAGCCGGGCACCAGTGGCTCATGTCTGTAATCCCATCTACCCAGGAGGCAGAGAATAGGAGGATCAAGGTTCAAAGCCAGCCTGGGCAAATAGTTCACGAGACCCTATCTCAAAAAAAAAAAAAAAATTCACAAAACAGGGCTGGTAGAGTGACTCAAGGTGTAGGCCCTGAGTTCAAGCCCCAGTACTGGGGGGGAAAAAAAGTTCATGACCAAGATATTAGAGGGTTGTGTTTTTCTTTCTGGTTTTGTTTTGGTCGTGGTGGTGTTTGGATTTTTTTAAGACAGTCTGGCCAGATGCCAGTGGCTTACGCCTATAATCCTAGCTGCTCAGGAGGCAGAGATCAGGAGGATCTCAGTTCAAAGCTAGCCCAGAAAAATAGTTCATGAGACCCCATCTCAAAAATACATAACATAAAGAAGGGCTAGTAGAGTGGCTCAAGTGGTAGAGTGCCTTCCTAGCAAGCATGAAACTCTGAGCTCAAACCTCAGTGCTACCAAAAAAAAAAAAAGGGCTTTTGTTTTGTTTTGTTTTAACTGAGGCCTCTCCCCTTGGTTTGCAAATAGTCGTCTTCTCCATGACCTTCTCTTTTCCTCTTCTCATAAGGACTCCAATGATATTGGGGTCAGTATAACTTCATTTTAACTTAATTACCTCTTGAATGACCCTGTTTCCAAATGTAATCACATTCTGAGATCCTGAGGGTTAGGATTTCGATATATGAATTTTTGGAGAATTATTTCAGCCCATTACAGTCCCTGCATTGGTCCTCCCAAATTTATGTCCTTCTCACATGCAAAAATACATTTACCCTTAACCAGTATGGTAATACAGGCCTGTAGACCCATCTACTCATGAAGCTAAGGGAAAAGAATCACTTGAGTACTAGAGTTCGAAGTCAGCCTGAAAACAGAAATGAGACCCGCTCTCCCCCCCTGCATAACAACCCCAAAAGTCTTAATTAACCTAGTACAGCATCGACTCCAAATCCAGGCTCTCATCTGAATCAGATATGGATGAGACTTGAGGTATGATTCATCCCGAGGCAAAATTCCTCTCCAGCTGTGAAACTATAAAATCAGCAAATTTATTTGTTTCCAGAAAACAGTGTCTGGACAAGCATAAGACAGATGTTCTCACTCTAAAAAGGAGAAACCAGAAAGGGTGACAAGTCTCAGGCAAGTCCAAAACCTAGCAGGGTAAATTCCCATAGACTTGTAAGGCTAGAGAAAAATCTTTGGCTCAGTGCTTTGTTCTCCAGAGCCTGCTGGCATAGGTGTCTCTACCTTTTGTACCAAGAAGATAGCCTCACACCACTGGCCCTGGGTGGAGGCAGCCTGGATCTCTGGAGTTAGGGCAGGAGATGGCCCTAACTCCCAGGTCTGCCCTCTAGATCCTTGGTGGCAGTAGTAGCCACCTATGAGGTCCCTTTTATTGCAGGATTATACATATTTACAGGAGGATAGTTATGTTGGCCTGTTCTGTAGAATGCCAGAAGTCCAACAACCTTCCTTCATTTTGTCCTATCCCCTTTAGCTCAAGCTGGGAGTGTGTGCTAGTATAAAATCCTCAAAACCTCATTGGCCTTCCATGCAGTTCAAGGGGGTCCAAGCAGCAGAAAAGAGAATCCTCCACTGATCTTTCTCAGATAGCTGCATCTCTATTCTTGGCTTCTGAGATGTTTGACTAGATTCCTGAGTATTAGCTGAAATCTCTTTATCTGGTGCTTGTTCAGCCATATTTCAGTGCTCTCACCAGAACATATGCAATATGGATAGTGCTATGGTTTGGGTATGGTTTGAGCATGTCCTCAAAGATTCATATATTGGAATCTTAGTACCCTGAGTGGTGACATGGGAAGTGATGTGACCTTTAAGCGATGGGACCTAGTCGGAGGTCCTTAGGTCATTGTGGGATGGGGAGAGCTGCCCTTAAAAAAGATTAGAATTAAGGTAGCTCTCAAAAGGACTCTGAGCTCTTGAAGAGTGAGCCTGACCTCTAAATTGCCCTCTGATTTCCTGTTTGGCAGTGTAATCTCACTCTGACAAGCGTTTCCCATCATTGCCATCTGCCTTAAGGTCCTTGCTAGAGTCTGCACCATACTCACTGGACTTTCACCTTCCAAAGATGAACTTAAATGAACTTCTTCTCTTCATAAGAAGTGACCTCAGGTATTTCATTGTAATAATGAAAAAATAATACAAATAGGCAAGAATTTCTCAAATCTTCAAGTTTCAGTTCCTAATTTCAGTTCTTAAGATTCTCCCCTCTCAAATTGTACCATAGGTAGCAAGAAAAAATAATCCAGGCAATGCCTTTAACACATTGCTTCAGTTAAATATCTCTGTTTATCACTTATAGTTTCTACTTGTCACAAAACATAAGGACACAATTCAGCCAAGTTCTTTTGCCACTTTATAACTAGAATCACCTTTCTCCCAGTTTCCAGTAACATGCTCTTATTTCCATCTGAGACCTCATCAGAAGTACTGTAAATGTCCATATTTCTACCAACCATCTCTTCACAGCTTTCTCTTATCATTCACCTTCAGACTCTCCCAACTTGTACTTGTTACCCAGTTCCAAAGCAACTTTCACATTTTTTGGTATTTGTTAGTTGTACCCCTGCTTTCTGGTACCCAAAGCCATATCAGTCTACTAGAGCTGCTGTAGTAATTTAACACAGACTAGATGACTTTAACTTTCCTGCAGTTCTGAAGGCCTCAAGTCCAAGATGTCAGCAGGGTGAATTTCTTCCAAGGCCTTTCTCCTGAGCTTGTACGAAACCTTGCTATGTCTCCCATAATCTTCCCTCTGTGTCTGCATCCAGATTTCTTATATGGACAACAGTTATATTATATTAGGACCCACCCATATTACCACATTTTTAACATGAGTACCTCTTGAAAGATCCTATCTCCAAATATAGACACATTCTGAAGTTGTCCTAGAGATCAGGACTTCAACATTTGGATTCTCAAGGGACACAGTTCAGTCCATGAGATATGCTGTCTGCAGGTCATCTTCTCATTCAGTGAACAGATCAGCTCTTAGTGTCCACTGTAGCACTTTTTTTCTTTTTATTCACCCAAATCTAGTAATAGTTAACAGAAGCAAATTGCTGATCAAGTAGTTTGTTATTAACAGTGGATAAAAGCAAGTTAACACCTCTTGTCAGTTCATGAGGTCCAAAAAGTCCATTACACCTTCTTCACCTGCCCCACCAGCGACCTGATGCACAAGGCAGCCATAGTTCACCTTTCAGGCAAGACAACACAGGCTCAAAGAAGCCATCTTTTTTTTTTTTTTTTTTTTTTTTTTTTGCTATCCCAGTAGGGTAGGGGCTCTGAGTCAGATTTCACTGAATTTGAAAGTTTCTTTCTTCTCCTCCTTCTTCTCCTCCTCCTCTTCCTTCTCACTCCCTTCCTCCTCTTTTTGTGGGACTGCAGTTTGAACTCAGGGCCTCATGCTTGCTAAACAGGTTCTCTACCGCTTGAGCCACGCGCCCAGCCCCTCAAAGAGGCCATCTTGCTAGAGTGAGGTAGGTCCCCATAGCTAAAAGACCAAGAGGTGAGATGAGCGTCAAAACAGCCTCTTCTACAGCTGATAATTTCTATTCTGTATGAGTTCTTGCCAGGCTCCTTTCCCACTGCCTAGTCTCATATTCTCCCTATTACCTTGGTCTTCTGATTGGTGCAGATGCTACCCCTAGTTCTACTGCTGCCCATTAGCTGCTCTTTGTAGCTTCTGGATCTTCCTGTCCTGCTTTGTTTTTCCAGCCCCACCTACACTAAGCTTCTCTACCCTGCCATGGCCATCCACTAGCCATTAAGCTAAGACTTTCCACATCTAGGAGGGCCCACACATTACCTCTTGAGTTCTAGACCTGAGTTCCACACTTCACAAAGTGAGGATACAGAGGCCACATGTGTGGTGGGCTCTGGGCTGTAGTTCAGAACCTTGGGCCTGGTTCCCTGCTGCCTACCCACTTCCTCTCCATGGTACCACTCTCTGATATCACAGACTCAGGATCCATTAAGCCAGCTTCAGTCTAGGTTATAAAATGCAGAACAAACCATCTCTACCCATCATAGCTGTGGGCCTCAGACTTGTGTTGACATTGAGTAGGGAAGAGGTAGGAGTATGGATGGGGTTCAGTGACCCTGGGCAGTCTGGGAGCATTAAACAGCCTTAACATCAGTACAGGGCTCAAGTCCCACCTCAACCCTCCTCCCTTGGATAGGTCACTTTAGTTATTAGGGTATGTAATGTGGTAAATAATCCATTGGATGGTGACCAGGAGCAAAGAGGGCCAGTCCTGTCAGAAATGTGCTCAACAATGGCAGCTAGCACCTTCTTGCATCTCAGTTTGTAAAATAAAGAGTCCTTTGTCATAATATCCTAATAGAATTTTTCACCATGCCTGGTTAAGTGAGGTGGCAGTAAATGTTGTATATAGGGGAGGACTTTACACAGTTAAGTTACGATTCTTAGAACTTAAGTCTCAATGGCTCAAGAAAAAATGAGGGCGAGTGGTTAAGGGAAATGGAGGGAATAGAGGAACAGGAGAAGGTGCTCAAAACGCTTTGGCCACCATGTGCCCATGGGTACATTTCCTTCTCCCAGACTCCACCAGTGGCCTGTGCATTGCAGCTGGGGACTCTATGGTCACCAAAGATCATTGCAAAAATGAGGGTTTCTGCACCCCCTACAGAAACTTCCCGGAGAGCATTCCTAGGGGCTGGGAGGTAGCCTGAGCAACACCACTGACCCATGTTGATTTCCTGTAGCTGGAGGCGACTCACCCTCCCTAAAGAACGGCCTCGACCAGGAGGTGACCATCGAGATTGTTCTATCCAGCTCTGGGGATGAGGACTCCCAGCACGGCCCATTCTGCACAGAGGAGCGAAGGAGCACCCCAGAGAACCCGCGTAGCCTCCCTGCCTCCCGTCGGGGCAGCGCTGAGGTGGGGGGCGAGGCACAGACCTCCCAAAAGTCCTACGTGTGTCCGAACTGTGGGAAAATCTTCCGTTGGAGGGTCAACTTTATCCGGCATCTGCGGAGCCGCAGGGAGCAGGAGAAGCCCCATGAGTGCTCCGTGTGCGGGGAGCTGTTCAGTGACAGCGAGGATCTGGACGGCCATCTGGAGGCCCACGAGGCCCAGAAACCCTACCGGTGTGGCGTCTGCGGGAAGAGTTTCCGCCTCAACTCGCACCTGCTCTCCCACAGGCGGATACACCTGCATCCAGACAGACTCCAGCCAGTGCAGAAGAGAGAGGAGGGGGTGTCAGAGACCGAGGGCGGGGATCCAAGCCCCCTGCTAGAAAAGAGCAAGGCGAAGCTGAGCATGCAGTGCGGTGACTGTGGGAAGGGCTTCCAGCGGCATGACCAGCTTGTGCGGCACCGCAGCAACTTTCACCTGAAGGACGAGGCCCGCCCCTTTCGGTGTCGGTACTGCGTCAAAAGCTTTGGGCAGAATTACGACCTCCTCCGCCACGAGCGCCTGCACATGAAGCGGCGCTCCAAGCAGGCTCTGAACTCCTACTGAGCTCCCCTGGTGCAGCCCCAGTCACAGTGGTCAATTGGCCCCACACTCACTACACTTGTCCCAGGACATAGACGCACCTCCCTTTGCTCTCAGGTAGTGTCCGACTTTTCCTGGTGCCATGGTAGCTTCCTTCCTCCTTTCCAAACAAGGAGAGTGGCCGACTGAGCCTTTCTTCCATTTCTGCTGTGCCAAAAACCAGGGAGGCTGTCACCACCAATTTCAGCATGCTCCATATGTCTGCGTATTACAGATCCCTGTGCGGTGCTCCCCAAGCCCTCCAAAGAGAGTAGCTGTCCTCTCAGCACCCTCTCCCATCCTGCCCTGACACCAGCTCCTCAGGGTCCAGGGTGGCTGTACTTACTGTCTGACAGTGAGAAGCTGCCAGTGCAGTGATGGGCTGGCAGGAAGGAAGTAAGACAGGGAGGGGCTAGTGGGTGCAGTAGGGAGCAGGGCCAGACCCATTGACTCCTGTCATCAGAAGTCAGCCCCAGCTCATCATGCCTACAAGAACACCCCTACAGACCCTGAGCTTATCAGGAGGCCCTTCGGGGCTTGGAGTCTGGCTAGGAATGCCAGAGCTCCTTCTTGGGGGTTGGAAATTATCATGAGACCTTTTGATTTGTCCTGGTGCTAATTTTATGGATCCGGAGCTCATCCAGGGCAAAGCTCCCATTTTAAATTGTTGTGCACCCTATCATGTCCTTCCTTTATACTCTGAAGGTCCCTGGTATCTGGGATAGAAGCTGAGTTGTCACCATTTAAAAGGCACTTAAGCTCCTCACCCACTCTGTCTACGAATGTGGAGCTCATCCCCAAAGAGGAGCTCTTCTGGGTGAGCCAAGCCATGAACAGAACCTCTCAAGAAGTCACGCCCTACATCAGTTCTGACTTTGATGCCAGTTGTGTTAGTTTCCTACCACTTTGTAACACAGTACCAAACACTGGGTGATCTCCAACAACAGTGTATTCTATCACCACCAAACCACTTGGCTACTTGTCTAAGATCAAGGTGTCACCAGGGTAGGCTCCTTCTGAGGTTATGAGGGGGAATCTGTTCCTGGCCTGCTGGTTGCTGGCACGTGTTTATGACCCTTGACTTGTAGAAGCATCATGCCATCTTTGACTTCATCCTCACATATCTGTCTCCAAATTTCCCTTTTAGATAAGGACACCAGTCTTAGGATCAGGGTCCATCCTACCTATGCCTGTATAAACCTCATCTGCATCAGCAGTGACCATTTCCAAATAAAGTCACATTGTGAGGTACTAGGGGTGAGAACTATAACATTGGGGTCTTGAGAGGACACAGTTCAAGCCACAACTCCAGATAATTTCTTGGTACTGCTGATGTTTCTGACTCAGATGAGCCAATATATACTTCATACTCGTGGAGTTAGGATTCAAACCCAGGGTTCTGCATTCAGGACTGCTCTTGTCTGCATGGAAGAATCTTCATCAATAGCCTTTAAAGGTCAGATCCTGGGGGACTGTACTGTGACTAACAGACAGATGGTAGTGAAACCTCAAGCAATCAAAAACATGGTCTTACTGTACTGAAAGACTGGTTAAGTCTGCCAGGCTCAGCAATGAGAAGGCATCAGGGCTTGGTGTAGCTTTGGCTGGACCTCAAAGCTGCAACAAGGTAGTATTTTATGTTCTATGCCAGATCTCAACAGACAGGAAGCCTGGGAAAATGAATGTAAGGCTACTGGTGCTCCTTGTGAAGTGATTTTCACATCAAGAACCTCTACCCCAAACCCAATAAAAGATTTATGAGATTTTATGAATAAATTTCTATTTCTGGGCAACTGCATCTATATACCTAGGAATAGTAAATGCAATAAAACCATTTGGTCATACCTTGAGCAGGAAATAAGCTGTTAAAGGTCTTGATTTCTAAATAGTGTGTTTCTTGTATTTACTTGCCTAGAAGAGGGAGCAACTGGATCCTTAAGGGCAAGGGAGGAGAAATTCTACTCAGGCCCAGCTCTCTGCACATTTGCCCCTCCCACCCTAGTGCTCTTGACTGAGGGCTCTATCAGTAGCTCCAGGACCCAGAAGAGGTTATTTCCCCTTCTGCTTCAGACTTGTCTAAAATGGGGACTTTGCTCTACTTTATACATGAGATCATGTTACACATGAGATCAAATCATAAGTAAGTAAGGCACAAAGGGAATGCCATGGAACTGGAGTCAGAAGGAGTCTATCTCTTGAGTCACCACCAAATATTGTCAAGGAGCTTCCATCACTGATCCAAAGCCAACCAAGAAACCTCAATAATTGGAAGGTCAAGTTGCCAGAGAGTCTGGAAACCCTTCTGGGTGATGTAGCTCAAATCTCACACAGAAGTGGATGGGGGTTTACCTGTTTAGGGGAAAGGCCTACCAGCCCTCCTGCAACACGCCCTGCTCCAGTGGGAGGGTAGAGGTACTGAACCAAATTTATCTTTGTCTCCCTTTTAGCTACTGATGTTTATGGCCTCAGTGAGAACAGCTGGTCCCTTTCTTCCCTCTCTGTTTCCTCGTGGGGGAAGAGGGGCCAACAGGTGAGCTACAATTCTATTTTGCCATGGAAGTTGAGACCCCCCCCAATCCAAGAAGCTCCTCCTATTCCTTCGAATCATTCCCACAAATGCACAGGTGCATAATAAAAACATGATGAATTAAAATTGTGTTAGACTTTTCATTTAAAAAAAATAGAGCCAGGTGCCGGTGGCTCACACCTATAATCCTAGCTATTTGGGAGGCTAAGACCTGGAAGATCGCAGTTTGAAGCCAACTGGGCCAAATAGTTCACAAGGACCACCCCCCCAACCCATCTTCAAAAAATATCCAGAGCAAAATGGAATACAGGTGTGGTAGAGTGCCTGTTTTGCAAGCATGAAGCCCTGAGTTCAAACCCCAGTTGCACCATAAATTAAATAAATGACATATGAAACACAGCTGAGAGTGGTAGCTGTTCGAGATTAGCTGGAACCAGTCACTTGGTAACTGCTTTTCATGGAATTGGGGAGATTATAATCCTGCTCAAGATACAGTAGTTAACCTGGGCCATTTTCCTGTATCCTTTATCTTCCCATCATTCTACCCAGCTGGGAAAACAAACAAAAGGTAAAGGCATGGTGGAAAGATCCCTTGTCAGATGTCACACCATGGCTCAAGCAGAAGAAGACAGTAAGTCCAAGTCATCTCCTATGAGATGGTATACCCTACTCTCCCAAAAGCAGTCTGAACCACATGTAGATAGGTGGGGAATACCTTGCTAATTCAGTCAAACAGTTTCAGACTTAGCTAACTAGTTAGTTACCATTGAGCTACACCCCCAATCCCCCAGACACAATTTCTGTTAGCAACAAATACTAATGGATCCCCAGCATCACAAAACAAATGAGAGGAAGGAGGGGAGGGAAGGAAAAGAAAGAAAGAAAAATAAGGTCTTGCTTACTGCATCTTGTTAAAATACAGAGGGACAAGAATACTTGCCTTCTCACCCTCACCCTCTCCCCGGTACTGGAGTTTGAACTCAGGACCTACACCATGAGCCACTCCACCAGCCTTTTTTTGTGATGAATTTTTTTCAGGATTGGGTCTCTTGAACTATTTGCCTGGGCTGGCTTCGAAGCACAATCCTCTGTTTATCTCTGCCTCTTGAGTAGCTAGGAGTATAGGCATGAGCCACTGGTGCCTGGCTTCCCAGAAAGGTTTTTTAAGATGTCAAAATATCATGTTTCAAAAATTGAGAAAAACATTTACAGTACTACTGTCCTAAAACGTTGCTAATCAAAAAAGGCACATGTAGGGTTCAAGGCATAGCTCAGTTGTAGAGCACTTTTCTAACATGCTCAAGGCTTGATCCCAGTACCACAAAGAGAGAGAAAGCCATTGGGTAATTGGGAAAAATTGACCTCATTTGAATCAAGCTGGAATTCCTTTGGAATTGTCTGTGTGCCCTTAGAAAAGATGGGGTATGCCACCAACTAACTGAAGTTTTATTTGTTTTCAGTGCTGGGGATTGAAGCTAGGACCTCATACATGTTATATCCTAGCCCTACATTTAGCTTTTTGTTGTTGTTTTGTTTCTTTTTTTGGTGGCACTGGGGTTTGAACTCAGGACCTCATGCTTGCTAGGCAGGTGCTCTTACCACTTGAGCCACTCCACCAGCCCTATTTAACGTTGGGTATTTTCAAGATAGAGTCTTGTGAACTATTTGCCCAGGACTGGCTTCAAGTTGTGATCCTCCTGATCTCTGCCTCCTGAGTAGGTAGGATTGCTAGGATCACAGACATGAACCACTGGTGCTGGCTTTTTTTGTTGTATTTTTAAGACAGGTCTTGCTATTTAGCCCAGGCTGGCCTCAACCTTGTTTTTTTTTGCTTTTGTTTTTTGGGGAGGGTTGGTGTTCCTGGGTTTGAACTGAGGGCCTCATGCTTGCTAGGCAGACACTACCATTTGAGCCACTGCACCAGTCTCTTGGCCTTAAACTTGTGATTTTTCCTGCCTAGGCCTCATGAGTGCTGGAATTCAAGCAAATATACTCTGGCACTTTTATTGACACAAGAAAAACTTTTGGAATGGGAAAGAAAATAAACTCCTGTGGAAATCAGAGCAATATTTAACCCCATTACCATCATCAGCAAATATTCTTCTATCTAGTTGCAGGGCACTGGTTGGGGGACTGGACCAAATTTTTCTTTGTCTCACTTTTATCCACCAATATTTTTACAGAATGGCTTAGCTGATGTCAAGATAATAATCTGTGCTCATGATGTGAATTTTTTTTTTTTTTTTGCAGCACTAGGGTTGGAACCCAGGGCCTTGTACATGCTATACAAGCACTCTGCCATTGAGCTACATCCTCAGCCCCATAATCTGAAGCTTTTACTAGCAACTTCATCTAAAAATCTATGCTCTGGAAGCCCAAAATTCAACCAGAAGTTCACCCATCTAACTTACAGAAACATAGCTAGGTGGTCAGGCAAAGAATGAGTCAGAAACGACAGAGTCCCAGCATCCTGAAGTTGGTCTTCAGTCCCTATGAGATTTTCATGTAGCTACCAATGGTGGTAGCAGTGAACTCTGACTTGAGTGTGCTCTCGATCAGTCTTACAAGTATGAGGGAGGTGTGCAGTCTTGAGGCTCAAAGGGGGTGTAATTATAGTTTGGAAGAAATGTATTAATCAATATCCTGTGTGTTCTCTCTCAACACCTTCTCCGCCACTAACCACCAAGGACCTTACTGTGTCTGTTTACATCATGCAGTTCAATGTCTGAAACAAGATGGGACTTGATGTATGTTACACAAAGCTGTACCCATCACTCTACCCTCCCAAGAGAGAAGGGACTCCCGTCTGAACTAGAAACCAGCTTGTTTGGGTGCAGAGAAGAACCTGCCACTGTCCTGCCATCAGCTGGATATCCAGTCATTCAGTTAGATTCTGACACTAATCACTGAGAGGTAGTGTCAGATGCCACAGGTTAAGGATAACGTCCTCCACAAGACTGTCCCTTTGCTAGACTCCAGCTGAGTATCTCAGGGACCACCTACACTTCTGGCTGACTGTGTTAGTCAGCTTTCCATTACTGTAATGGAAATGTAACTCAGTATTTACTGAGTTAATCGACTTCAAAAGAGGAAAGATTTGTTTTGGCTCATGGTTTCAGAGGTTTCAGCTGATGGTCCTGTGGTTCCTTTGCTTCTGAGCCTGGGGCAAGAAGAGTGTGGTAGAGTAAGCTGTTCACCACATGGTTGTTGGGAAGAAGAGAGAAAGAAGAGAGATTGGAGTCTCTCAAGTGCATACCCTCTAGGACCTAGCCTCTCAGTAGGCCACACCTCTTCTAATCTCCTTCCAGTAGAGCCACGCTGAGGACTATGCCTTTCTCACTGGGCCTTGGGGGACACTCAGTATCCTAACTGTAGCACTGGCCATCTACAAATTTGAGGCTTCTCATCACCCTATCAGGTTTGATTATTTTCTGAACCAACTCATAGAACTCACTCAAAGTCTGTAGATATGATTAGTTTTTATTATAATGGATGCAATTTAGAAAAAGCCAAATGGAAGAGTTGTATAGGGTGAAATCTGGAAGGGTATGGATGCAGAATTTCTATGCTCTCTTTCTGTGAAGTCAGGACACATCTCCTTCCCAACATGAATTTTTCACAGGCAAGAAGCTTGAGTTTTAGTCCCCAGTTTTGTTTTGTGTGTGTATGTGAGGGGTGGGTTTTGTTTTGTTTTTTGAGGTACTGGACTTTGAACTCAGGGCCTACAATTGGAGCCACTCCGAGGTAGGCTGAAATTAGGGAAAGTTCAGGACTCATAGAAAAATACTACATCTTAGATTAGCCATGCTTCAGCTCAGGAACCACCCTCACCTGGCTGGGAACTGCCCATGCCTCTCTCTACTCATTGGTTATTAGATAGGAATCACCTGATTCTCTCTTTCCTATAGGTTATCTTAGGTTTTAAAAGCACCTGAGGAGCAGAAGCATGCTCCCTCAGTCTCCAGATTCCACCTGGGCCCCACCATGCTCCTCTTTTTATTTTCCTTTCCTAACTTAATAAACTCCATTTACACCCACACGTCCTACCACAGATTATTCCATGAGGGACAAAAAATTTAGAAGTCTTCTGACCAGAGACTGTACCAGTGCCTTTAACAACTCCACCAGCCCTTTTTTTTGTGATTTTTTTTTGAGATAGGGTCTCAAGAATTATGTACCCATGCTGGATATGACTGACAAT